CGTGATACAACGCGGGTCCATTTCCAACATACGATACGTTTATAAATATGTGCTTGTATTGCAATATTGCTGTTCTAACGCCGTATTACGAGTATTGTGTGCTGGGCCGAGATCGTGTAATCACCGATAAAGATCCTTACTAACAGCTTACGTATTCATGTTTATACGTACAGTACAGATTATATTACAGTGTATTATCGTACTACTAACACTATTTACATGGTATTATCTAGGCTCCCAATATACACATCTATCTTACATGTTTATAGGTACCATAACATGTATCTTAGCATGTTTAATAGATACCTACATTACTATTTATACAGTATTATGAGGATACCTATCACCTTATATTACTGTATTTAAGGTATCTATTAACATTACATTACATGTTGTATAAGATACTAGATAGATACTTATTACTGTATTATAGGATATCTATGTGTTGAACGTGGATTTAGATACTACCTTCGGGCACAACATCATAGACTATTCGTATGGCCATCAAGCAATCTATTCCGTGCAGCCCACGGTTGGCCGACTGGTAACGTGATCGCAATGGGGGGATATATACTTTTTTTCTGTGACGTCCACCTTAACATAAGCCACCTTCTTGGCATGAATCCTTGCCATTATCGTCACACTTTTCCGAGTCCCTTTGCCGTGCTGTGGGCGACGTGAATTCTAGGTCGATTCATGATATATATATTAGCAACCAAGGATAACGGAGCATTATAATACAGCGGTGCGGAATGAAGCAAAGCTCTTTCAGCATCGTATTCCGGCTTCATACATGTCGCATGCGAATAAAAAAGAAATTAATTCAGAGGCATAAAACTTTGCTTTCCTGTGTAAAACGCTATTATGTGCGAGCCACGGCGTGGGAGGTTTTGACACGCTTTAGTTAGTTCCTTAATTCACCTACATTAATGTTACATCGGATACGCTTTATCAATGTAAATAATTTATATTATTTCCGGTGGCCTATTATAAGCATGACTGATATTCATCTACAACAGATAGATACGTGCGTTGATCACGTATGATGGCCGCGGCTCCATACAGAAGACGAGTCACGATGACAACAGAAACAACCGCTCGCAGCGCACTGGTGTTCTGGGCCTTTATGTACGGAAATAATGATATATCATAGCGGTTCTAACGCCGGCCGACCGACGGAAGATAGACGGCATAAGTCAGCGTAGCGCGAAACCATACCGGACAGTTGTCCGCTAATAAGTTGACAAGCCCGCGCGCGTCCTGCTAGCGTGGTTATGAGCAAACTAAATCGGCCAGTGGGAGAGGTTGGCGTTGGCGGGGTAGGCTTGAGTACTGTGCGGGGCGGGGGGGGCGCGGTTGTACTGGGCGATGATGCCAGATGGGGATTTGAGTGCGACACCAGGTGGTCAATGTCAGGATAGTCGTGTGGGTTTGCCGAGCGCCATACCGCAGCAGCAGTTGTTAACATTGATAACGAAAGGGTTTCGTGGGGACGAGGGGCTTTGCGGGTTAACATGTACGTCGGACTGATCGACGGTCGGTTATCGTCCCGTTTACGCGCCGTCCGCGCTCCGGTTGAATATTTCATGGGTATGTACCGCGCGTGTGGCTCAGCCTGGCGTCCGACGCGTGCGTGATTCACAGTGTCTGTCGGGGCTTTTGTCAGTGACGCGGGGGGATGCGCCGGCTGCGCCCCGGTATGCCGTTATATGTTGACCTGTCTCGTGTCAGACTTCTCGTCGGTGGACGTCTTATTCCTTGTCGTCTCGTCGTTAGGTGGTGTTACTGGCAGTATTGCCGTACACTGGCACTTGCCGTGCAATCGTTCGGTGCGCCGCTATGCGATTGTCTGTGGGTCCGGCCAGTGCAGGGGGGCGCTACAGCTTCGGCAAGGGCTTTAACGAACCCAACGACCAGACGGCGCCGCATGTCGACACGCCCTTCCAGGCTGTATCAAAATGACATCATGCAAGGGGATCCCTTTCACGGGTATGGTTCACGCCTCTTCGCGACATTGGTGACCTCCTGCAGGGGGCGCATTAACTCTATCTGCTTTCACGGTTTCCCGGTGCACACTCTCTACCGCTGTCTGCACGGGGGCCATTACAGCGCCTACGCTGCCTGCAGCGTGGCCGAACACCGACCTTACCCCGCTGCCTGCAGGGTTGGCATTATGCAGATACCTATGCTGCTGCAGCCGGTGGGGCGAGGCACGGAACTCGTACCGTGCTGTTGCAGGGGTGCACCGGGGACCGCTATCGCTGCCTGCGGGCACTGCGCCACGTGCGCATCGTGCTTGCAGGGTCTGCTGAGTTTCTTGCCATCGTGGCATCTTTCACGTTGTATAGGTTCGAACGCCGCACCTCAGGTATTGTCTGGTATTTTCTGTGGCTGCTGGTGTGCCTGACAACGACTGCGAATGCCACAAACAAAAAGTTTGTCAGATTAGGTTCATCCGCATTCCTCCCAGATAGTGTAGTCGTTACTGAAGACATATATTATTACATATATAGGGTAGATATCTAGGAGGCAGGTATGACACTCAAAATCGTGGATTCCATCTTGCTTGCCGAAGTGTACCGATGCATTAGTTGTGTCAATCGATAAATTAATCTAAATTAGGTTGGACTCACGGTTCTCACTCAATGTTTCCTTTAGTTTCCCTACCTCTTCTTTTTATGGAGTATAGCTCTTGAACGTCAAATGGTTCATGCTTTTGACTAGGCTTGGTGGCAGGGCGGTGCGTGGGGGGCTTGAAGTAGTGTTTGGAGTTGGCGTAGACCACGCAACAGGGTGGCATTTTTGTTGACAGCAAGAGACCAGCTGCCTCACAATGTATAACCAGTAGTAAGGCGGAGGAAAGCAAGCCCAGCTAGTCAACGCTCCGATGACATGTGTGACGTTCAAGCTACATCTCCATGAAAAAGAAGAGGTATGAAACTAAGTAAAGTTTTGAGTTGAGGAGGGGTGGATGTTACGCTAATTATATAATGTGTACATATGGGTATCCTATAATACATGTAATATAATGTGTATGTAGGTATCGTATAATACATGTAATATAATGTGTATGTAGGTATCGTATAATACATGTAATATAATGTGTATGTAGGTATCTTTATCGGTGATTATCACGTGCTGCGGCCCAGCACATACTCTGTATACGGTTGTGTTAGAATGCAATATTGCAATAAACACATATTTATAGAATTATCTGTTATTGTTGGAAATGGTACGCGCGTTGTATGCACATTATTTTGATTGTTTGCAATGTAGCAGACGTCATAATGACAATTCATTTCCGCACGTAAAACTTTTTTTGTTTAAAGGATTTTTTAAACCGTACACAGAAACTGGTCACTGCCATGATTCCTTTAATGCCACAAAACAAATGAAATATAGTAGTCAATCATGAACTAGTTGATTCAACTCATACCAACAAGTTCAGCTACTCCTTTACGAAAATCTTTACACGTGACTCTATCTTAATATCTAATAATAAGCCTTTCAATTCTGTTTTTTTATATTTAGCTTCTGTATGTGTGCTTTTTAATGAGTTTCTGAAACGAACAGTATTGTGGCAAGCGATTCCCACAGCAGATGGCAGCACTAGCTATATCCTCTGGACGTATAAGGATTTTTCTTGACGGTTTAGTTCTTGAGAATACTTTTGTCTCTCTTCCGTTAACAAATCCTTTAGCGCTGCTCTCCTTACCTAAAAACACAAGCGACGTATGAAGATTCTATACTAGACAAACATAGACAGATAACACCCGACAATGCAGCGAAATATGACCACGATAAACATCGATCAGCCATTCAGGATCAAAGACCTCTCTGGTTATCTCTGTAAACGCGCTAAATAGATTCCATCGTTCCTTCTAATTGTGAGCACGTGACAGCAACTAGCATGTGACGTCACGTACTATGATCGACGCTCTCCTGGCCATGCCGAGTTCCTCCGAGACTTCCTTCTCGCTCTGCGCCTTTCTGAGTGTGTGTTTGGCTTCATCACCTTCCTCCACCCAGCGTGCCGTGAGAAAGGTCTCCTTCATACTACACACACCAAACATGTGTATATATAGGCATAATACACACAGGCGCATTCACGTCTCCACGCGCGCGCGCACATGCACACACACACACACACACACACACACACACACACACACACACACACACACACACACGCGCGCGCGCGTGCTGTAATGATACACGAACGATATTACTGCTGCAATGTTATGGAGATGCAATAATATATACACATATATATATATATATATATATATATATATATATAACAAAGTCAAGGTATAGAATTTATAATGTGTATTAATGTGTATTAATGTGTTTATAATTATTCTATACCTTGACTTTGTTTTTATCTACACGGGTGTTCGTGTGCGACTTTACTTCTATATATATATATATGTGTGTGTGTGTGTGTAACA